TCGAGGCAGGGTCCTGGAAGACTGGGCGGCCGCGGCCGGCCAGGTGGTGTTGAAACGAGGGTCGGCCGACACGTGCGTGAGACAGCAGGGGAGTCCCTCTGCAGTCCAGCGATCGCACAGAGGGTGCGGAGCTGGCGGGTGTTGGATGAGGTGGAGACGCTATCCGATCATCGTTACATTCGGATAGACGTTCTCCGCTCACCCGTAGCTCCGCACCCCGGTCGCCAGGAGAGGAATGTTCCACAACTCCCCAGATGGGTGTTGAAACGTCTGAATAAAGACGTGCTGATGGAGGCTTCCATCGTCCAGGCCTGGGTTCCCATACCGGAGGGGCCTGTGGAGGTCGACGAAGAGGTGGGCTGGTTCGGTGAGGCTCTGTCGCACATTTGCGACGCGGCGATGCCCCGAGCCGGCCCTCGACCTCCTAGGCGTCAGGTGTACTGGTGGTCGGAGGAGATAGCGGCGTTGAGGGAGGAGTGCCCCGCCGCCCGCCGCCGGTACACCTGGCACCGCCGACTCCGGGGGGGCCGCGACGCCGACGAGGAAGCACAGCTGTACGAGCAGTACAAAGAGAGGAAGAAAGCTCTGCAGCTGTCCATCAGCAGGGCCAAGGAGACAGCCAGGGAAGAACTCCTGGAGACCCTGGACAGGGATCCATGGGGAAGCCCTTATAGGTTCGTCAGGGGCAAATCACGCCCCTGGGCGCCCCCCGTGGCAGAGGGCGGCTGGAGCCGCAGCAGTTGGAGGGGGTGTTGGAGGAGCTGTTCCCGAGACAGCCTCCCTTCACACCTCCTCCGATGATGCCGCGTGGCAGTGATGGAGAGGCCAGCGGCGTCAGCGCTGCTGCGGTTCCCGCCATCACCGAGGAGGAGTTCGCCGCGGCCGTGGATAAACTCCGGGGCAAGAATGTCGCCCCGGGTCCGGATGGTATCCACGGCCGCGTCCTGGCCTTGGCCCTAAACACCCTAGGGGACCGACTCCGGCGCTTGTTCAACGCGTGTCTGGAGTCGGGAAGGTTTCCCAATCAGTGGAAAGCGGGTAGAGTGGTCCTGCTCCGCAAAGCGGAGCACCCCGCAGGTTCGGTGGTTCCCTCGGCGTTCCGCCCCATAGTGCTGTTGGACGAGATCGGCAGGCTCTTCGAGCGAATCTTGGCGGGCCGACTCGTCCAACACCTGTCTCAGGTAGATCCCGATCTCAGCCCGAAGCAGTTCGGGTTCCGAGAGGGGCGCTCAACGATCGACGCGATCTCGCGTGTGCGCTCCCTCTCGGAAGAGGCGACGTCCCAGGGTGGGGTGTTGTTGGCGGTCTCTCTAGACATTAAAAACGCCTTCAACACCCTGCCCTATGCGACTATTAGGGAGGCGCTGAAGTACCATCGCGCGCCTCCCTATATTCGGGACGTGATCTGGGCCTATCTCGGAGACAGGTCTGTGCTATGCACGGGGCGGAACGGCCTTGTAGTGCCGAGGGAAATGCAACGCGGTGTTCCACAGGGATCGGTTCTGGGCCCGATCCTGTGGAACATCGGGTATGATTGGAACCTGCGGGGCGCCCTTTTAACGGGCACTGACCTCGTGTGTTACGCGGATGACACCTTGGTCACTGCCCGGGGGCGGGACCTACGGGAGGCTACCCGCTTTGCCACGGCAAGCGTGGTACTGGTCGTCAGCCGAATAAAGAGGCTTGGGCTCCAGGTGGCGCTGGAGAAGACCGAGGTCCTATGTTTTCATGGGCCTCGGCGCGCGCCACCTCCGGATGCCCAGCTGGTCGTCAGTGGCCAGTGGGTGTGGGTCAAGCCCTGTATTAGGTATTTGGGGCTTGACCTGGACAGTCGTTGGAGCTTCCGCGCTCATTTCCGGAACCTGGTCCCTCGCCTTATGGCAGCCGCCGGCGCTCTTAGCTGGCTGTTGCCAAACGTGAGGGGCCCGGGAGAAGGTTCCCGCCGCCTATACCTCGGCGTGGTGCGGTCCATGGCCCTGTACGGGGCCCCCATCTGGGTGGGGGCCCTAGGTAGGGAAAATGTGGCCTGCCTCAACAGGCCACACAGGGTCATGGCCATACAGGCCATAAGAGGCTACCGCACCATATCCGGGGAAGCGGCGGGTCTGCTAGCGGGGTCTCCTCCGTGGGACTTGGTAGCGGAGCTCCACGCGTCAGTGTATTACTGGCGCGCGGAGCGACGTTCCATGGGGAGGCACCCGCTGGCCACGAGATTGGAGCGCGGAGGTCCGACTTTCGGCGGATCCTCAGGATCAGGTGGAGAGAAAGGCTGGCCAGTCCATCGGTCGGCCTGAGGACCGTCGAGGCTGTCCGTCCCATCCTCAAAAGGTGGATGTGTAGGCGATGGACACTGACGTACCGCATGACGCAGATACTGTCCGGGCACGGATGCTTCGGGCGGTATCTGTGTCATGTGGCGAGGACGGAGCCGACGACCGGCTGCCACGAGTGCGGAGGTGTGGAGGACACGGCGCAACACACGCTGGAAATATGTCCAGCGTTCGAGAGTGAGCGCCGTGTCCTCACACGAATAGTGGGGGACGATCTCTCGCCGAATTTAGTTCGGAGGATGATCAGTAGCGAGAGATCGTGGCTGGCGGTGAGCTCCTTCTGCGAGGAAGTTATCTCGCGGAAGGAGGCGGCGGAACGGGAGCGGGAGTCAGCTCGTCCCGCTTCCCTCCGCCGCAGAAGAGCCAGGCCTAGAGGTGGGGGCGTACCCAACTCCGCCCCCCTCTATCCCCTACTGGGGCCGGGGTGACTGCCTTGAGGGAGGCAGTACCCCAATCCAAAGGCCCCGGAGGTGTGCGCGTGTACCCACACGCCTCCACAATGGAGTAGGGCGAAATAGGTCGCCCTAACCACATAATGAGGTGGGGCCTGCCCTACAACATCTACAGGGCGGGCCGTCGCCGTCGGAGCTGGGGTAGAAATGCACTTGCGAATCCCCTGGCTCAGGAATAGGCGCTCGTAGGTACACCGTGTAGTTTTTGGTGAGTACAAATCTCACACACCGCCCCGCCTTCCCTCCGGCGGGGTGACGGTCTTTTAAAGATTTTCCTCACGTAAAAAAAAAAAAGATAAGGTTAGGGTATCTTTATACTCCTTCGTATCAATCACCGGGTCCAAACCGCCAAGGAGACAAGAACACGCTTCATTAAATTTAGCATAGTTCTCATTCAGTTCAGAAAGCCGCACGATAAGCCTATCACGTGACGCAGACGGCAGCAAAGTATAAGCATCCGTAATCCAGTCACTGATTAATCGAACAGTACCCATTGACTGACGATACTCAACAGTCTCACTGAATAAACACGCTCTCACCGTATCATTAGGATTCGACATCTTTATTTTAAATATTAATTACCACAAACAAAAGAAATATTTAATAAAATATAAAGATATAACTCACGAGTATTTATAAAGGCCAAATAAAATATAATAATAAAAATTATTATTATATTATCAATAATCGACTATATTTTCAATCAAATCAAGAATGTACCTAAATATTACTTAATACAGAGTGAGCATACAAAGTACCATAAACACAATATTCTCGCATACAGAAAACCAGTTTAAAATCATAACAAGTTGTTATCAATAAAATAATGTAGGTACCAAGCGAAACAATTCTAACAGGCCGCTTTATATTGACAACTTAGTAGGTAGTACGTAACCGTTAAGAATTCACTCAATTTATATCAATACATTTTTTTTTTATTGGATTGTTTGGGCTATTGTCAGATGTGTAGCACCTGTAGCACTGCGACCTACATAGATCTATTGTGCTCGCCCTTTTCAGAGTTCGCTACCTAGACCCGTCAGGGACAAGAATTGAAGGATATTCTTAGGAGCGATCGTTTTTATCTCCTCGGGAAAGAGTGTAAACATTCACACATAGGATGTGAAGCGGCGTTTCCTCTTCAGTTTGGCAGAATCTGCAGATACTTGTCGTGCATAGGCCTAGTTTAGCCATATGCTTGTTTAATTTGCAGTGTCCTGTGAGGGCCCTAGTCATCATGCATATGTTGTTTTTACTCAATAGCAGTAGTCTATTGGAGTATTTGGTCGAGAAGCCCGATATTAGGTCTTTTGAATGTGTTAATCCTGGCATTTCTTGCCAGTGATTCAGTGCTTCTCGGTTGGTTATTAATTTGAGATGTCCCAATTTTAGGCAACGAGGCACACCACAGAAGGGTTCGGGGCCCAGTTGGACGGTTTTTGCCCCTAACTTTGCCAGATGGTCGGCATTCTCATTGCCTTCAATATTTGAATGCCCGGGGACCCATCTCGGTATAATATTATTTCTGCTTCCTACTTCATTTAGTAGCAGGATACAGTTTCTAATAAGTTTAGAACGGATTTCGTACGAGTTAAGTGCTAGTAAAGCAGCTTGACTGTCCGAATAAATGTATATGTTCTGATTGATGTAGTTGAGGCTTAGGATTACTTCCAGACATCTAATTAAGGCGTAAGTCTCTGCCTGAAAGATTGAGGCGTATTTTCCTAAGCCTATATAGTTGCAGATTTTGGATTTTACACCGCATATTCCACATCCTACATCATCTCCTATTTTGGACCCGTCTGTAAACCAGACTAGGTCATGCTCTGAGTGAGTCGGTGTATGGTTATTTTGCCATTCGTCTCTTCCAGATATTTCGATTTTGTAATATTGTACAAAGTTACACTCTGGTGCCATGTTGTCTTCAGGCATTCCCAGAATAGGATCACTCATTATCGAGTCTTATGGTATATGCGGATACTTAAGCAATTAAAACGCGAGCACTTACAAAACAACATTTATTTTATGAACACACGATTGACAGAATCTACCCTATTTATTTATTGTTTTATATGTACCTTACACCTCCACCCTTAATTAACAGTCTCAATAAAATATATAATAATAATATGGCTATTACTTAAAAATACAAGACAACAATATTAAATATTAGATAACTTAACCTAAGTAATTAATATGTAAGAATGGACTACAAGTATTATTCTGGATCGAAATTAAATCTTTGAACTGGTTTGCGCACTCTTTTGGGTCGCTGTACTAGTGGCGGAAGTAGTGGATTTGGTAAATGCCTGGAATTCAAGGGTGAACCTTCAATTTCTTTCGGCTGCTGCGCCACCCCATGCTCACTACTGTCTATTCCACCTCCTTTGTCATTTAGCACTATTTCTGTACTGTCTGCTACCTCTATATTAGTGGCAGAATTGCTGTTGTTGCTCTCTTTAGTGTTCTCCTCTTCCAACGAACAAGGAAGAATTACTTACTACAGAACCCTTTTCCCATTTTTGTTGGTTTCTATAATCCCTAAACCAAATAGGATCACCTGGTTCAAAGTGTCGTAATTTACCTCCTGCATAATCGGTTTGATGACGTTGTTGCACCCTAACAGAATCGGTTACCGCTCTCTCGCATCTTAATAAATCTAACCTAGAACGTAATGAACGTCTTTGCAAAATTTGGGCCGGTGTCACCCCTGAAGTTGCCTTTCTAATAACGTTTTTACATAATTTAACAGAATTCTCTGCGGCCCCGTTAGAGGCAGGGTGATATGCCGGTGAATATCTTTGAAATATACCATTAGTTGCAAGGAAGTTTTTGAACTCACTACTGGTAAATGGTGGTCCCTGATCAGACACAATTTCTACGGGTAACCCAAACCTAGCAAACAATTCTCTTAGTGTTTTTACTACCGCTCCGGCTGTTGTGCGTGTCATTTGAAAGACTTCTAGCCATTTAGATGTCGAATCTATCACAACAAAATACGTTAGTCCATGCAATGGTCCTAAAAAATCTATATGTAATCGTGACCACGGCTGGGGTATGTATGGCCACGATTGTGGTGGCGCCCTCTGGGGCATTGGCATCTCGAGGGCACATGTTGAACAACTACGACACAACTGCTCAATGTCAGCATCAATATTTGGCCACCATACATAACTACGTGCCCATGATTTAGTTTTTACAATGCCCATGTGACTACTCTGTAATTGTTGAAGTATTTGTGGCCACAGCGACATAGGAATTATTATTCTATATCCCCACATTAGACAGTTGTTTTCACAATAAATTTCATTACGTCTTACAAAGTACGACTTTAATGTTTCATCCGTACATTGGTTTGGCCACCCTGCTTGAGTATATATTAGAAGTCGACTCGATATAGTGTCAGCGGCCGTCGCCTTCCTAACGTCGTTATGAGTTACGGGTAAGAAATTTTCTACAAAATTCAAATAGGTAATTTCGTTCACCGGACTAACTTCACTATAACAGAGTGGTAGCCGCGACAGAGCATCCGCGTTATTTTTAGCGGATGGTACATATTCTTTATTGTAAGTATATCCGGACAGTAACACCCCCATCGTTGCATACGACTTGCAGCCATGATTGGTATGCCCGCCTTGCTACCAAATATTGAAGTTAATGGTTTATGATCGGTTCTCAAGGTGAAATGCCTACCATATAAGTATTGGTGAAACTTCTTTACACCATAGATAATAGCCAGAGCCTCTCGCTCAATTTGTGAATATGCCCGCTCGGCTTTTGTTAGCGAGCGCGATGCATAAGCTATGGGGCGTTCTCCATGCTGTGTCGTGTGTGTAATGACCGCGCCGAAACACCTAAACTACTTGCATCCGTCGTTAAGATTAAAGGCAAATCAGGCGAATAATGCATTAATAGTTCACTCGATATTAATAACCGCTTTACCTCCCGAAAAGCCTTATCACAATTTTCCGTCCATACGAATCGAACCCCTGACCGTAATAACTCATATAACGGAGCTAAAATGAAACTTATATTCCTAACAAATTTACCGTAATACATTACCATACCTAAGAGTGATCGTAATTCGCTTACGTTTGTGGGTGCCGGGGTGTTCGTTATAGCTTTGACTTTGTCTGGACAAGTATGAACTCCCTTTTTGAGACAACATATCCTAGATAAGTAACTGATTCAGCAAAAAAACTGCATTTTTCTTTTTTTACTTTAAGACCACTAGATTTCAATATCTCGAAAAATTTGCACAGATTTTCAAAGTGTGAGTGACTATCCCTACCACTAATAATAATATCATCCAGGAATACCCCTACAAATGGTATATGCCCAAACAATTGTTTTAACTTCCTTTGAAATATTCCCGGACTAGACGCGAGACCATACACTAATCGATTATATCACTGTGCAATTACAAGTATCATCCAGTACAAACTGCGCATAGGCTTGAGATAAATCTATTTTTGAAAAATATTCCCCACCATGTAACCGCACGAGTAAATCCTCCACTCTAGGCAAAGGGTAACGATCGACATCCAACACTTTATTTAAAGTTAATTTGTAATCAGCGCATATTCTGATGTTACCATCTTTCTTGACCACTGGCACGATGGGCGTAGCCCAGTCGGAGCGGTCGACAGGAGTGAGCACGCCATCGCTCACTAGCTGCTCCAGCGCGCGCTCCACAGGCTCGCGCAGCGCGTATGCGAGCGGCCGCGCTCGCATAAACACCGGCCGCGCCCCCTCGCGCAAATGTATGCTCACCCTACCACCAGTAAAGCGACCCAATTCGTCTGCAAACACTTCACTGTATCTGGAAGTAAATTGACTATAATTAAAATTATTGCAAGATACGTTGTTTATATTGTAACCATTATCGGGTGGTGGTATGGTTATGCCTAAATGTATTGTCCATTGTCTGCCCAATAAAACAGTTTTACCCTTATAAATTACATATAAATTTAAATATTTTTTTCTATTTTTATATTTAACGAGTGGTTTTATGACACCCGCCGGTCGTATTGTTTCACCTGTATAATATCTTAATAATAAATTACATTTTTCTAACCTTATCTCACTAAAATATTTTAGGTATGTTTCGTAACTTATGCATGACACGGCACTACCTGTGTCACATTCCATTTGTATACTTTTGTTTTGAATACTCAATGTCACATAAATTGGTGGGAAATGATCTAATGATAACTGATTAATAGTCAGTACCTCGTCCCTGTCATAGCTCTTAGTTTCCACGGCCTCCTCGATGTAGTTGTGTCCATTATTCAGTAACGGACAAACTCGTCGTAAGTGTCCCGCCTTGTTGCATACCCGACAAACATAACGGACAAATCTGCAAGTAGCCACTTCGTGATCGCCGCCACATGCTTGACACTGTCCCTGCCCCGCCTGTCTGCCACGGCCGCCACAGCCGCGCGCGCCGTACCCTGCTCCCGCTCTGGCTGTGACCCGGCCGAACCAGCCGACCCGGCCGACCCGGCCGCCCCGGCCAGTTGCCTGCTTCAGCTGTAGTCTTATACGATCCTCGTTCACCCCCGTTCACCTCCGTTATCTTCTGACACTCCGCTGACATCATTTTTGACCCGCTATGCCCTTCAGTCAAGGCCGCATCTTTCTCCGCTGCCTCCATACTCCATGCTAAACTGCATGCTTTATTAAAATCTAATTTATCTTCTGCAAACAGGCGTTGCCTTATCGTTTCGCTCGCTAATCCACATACTAATCGATCGCGGAAACTCTCATTCAGCCATTGTCCAAAGTCACATGTTCTGGACATCTTCTTTAATTCTGCTATGTAATCTGATATCTTCTCGTCTTTCATTGGTTTCCTTTGGTGAAATTTGTAACGCTCAGCCAATATACTTGGGCGTGGTTGCAAATGTTTTTCCATGATCACTGCCAACTCATCAAATGATTTACTTGTGGGTTTATCTGGGGTGCACAGGTTTACTATGAGCTCATAACTTCTGGCCCCCATCACTGTCACTAGCGTCGGTACTTGCATTTCCCTACTAATGTTATTGACTATAAAATATTGTTCTAATCGTTCCACATATAAACGCCAATTGTCCGTTTCTATCTTGAATTCCGATATCTTCCCGACCGACATTGTTTATTTATTTATTTATTTAACGCACTCACTCACTATTAAAATAAACGTAAGTTCGATATTTCCTCGTCGCCAATGTGGTATATGCGGATACTCAAGCAATTAAAACGCGAGCACTTACAAAACAACATTTATTTTATGAACACACGATTGACAGAATCTACCCTATTTATTTATTGTTTTATATGTACCTTACAGTATAGTTTTTATGGCCAGGGAATGCCAAGATATCCTCCTTTGGGAACTTATTCTGAGCATATTGGCTTTCGCCTTTTCCTGTATAAATAAAGGAAGGGGCGTCAAGTCCAATATTGCGTCTAGAGCTGCTCCCGGCGTGGTGCTCATGGCTCCTGTAATAATCAGACAAGCAATTCTCTGTAGGCTGTTTAGCTTGGTGGCAGCTGTGGATTGGAGGGTTTTCTGCCACCAGATTGCGCAGGCATAGGTGGTAAGTGGCCTCACCACTGCTGTGTAAAGCCATAGGGCAATTTTGGGGTTAATTCCCCATCTGGGCACCGCTACCCGTCGGCTTATTCCTAGGGATGTTTTCGCCTTTTGAGTTATGTTGTCTATGTGTGTGTTCTATGTCAGTTTTTGGTCGAAGGTTACGCCCAGGTACTTGACTTCTTTGGAGCACTCTAATATTCTATTCTTCCATTTACTTTAGGCATGACAAGTTTGTCAAGTTTCTTCCTTTTTGTAAACGGAACAATTACTGTTTTCTCGGGATTTACTGATAATTCATTTTCCTTACACCATTTAACTATGATGTTTAGTGCTCTTTGGATGCGGTCTGTTGTTGCACAGAACCCTCTGACCATGACTACTAAATCGTCTGCGTAGCCTTGTACCTCAAATTGGTTTTTGGTCATAACATCTAAGAGCTGGTCTACCGTTAGTAGCCACAGCAGTGGCGATAAAACGCCTCCTTGAGGGCATCCTTTGGTAGGTCGGATTTCTAACGTACTGTTGTAGTTTTAATGGTTCGATTTGAGAGCATTGCTTTGATCCATTGAGTGGTGGTTTCATCCACTTTCTTGCGGATGAGTCCCTGTGAGATGGTCTCTAATTGCGTAAGATTTTATAATAAACTACCAGAATCTGCATTAAATCTGACAGAGAGGCATTTCAAATCTTATATTAAACAATTTTTATGTAAAAAAGCCTATTACAGGATAGACGAATTCATAGATGACAACATATCAAGTAAATAATTAGTTTATTAGCATACAACGTTATAATTTAATTTTCTCATTGCTTTCTTGATTTAATTGATTGATTTTAGAAATATGAAAGCGTAGCTTGTATTGATTGCCGCATGCATTCTTATGTAAAATGTGAATACTATAACTATCAGATGGCAACTGTCAGTAGCGTTTGACGTAGTCTAGTGTTTTGAGTAGTCATGCTCACTAAAATGTCCAGACTTGTGGCGGCGTGGTGGGCCGGGTCATTGGGCTCCCTAAAATATGGTCGAGCGCAGTGATGGCTGGCTCATCCGTCATACTCGTGAACGGGTGCTGCTTGTAGGGACTGGTCTGCTCTAATCACTATGACTGATTTCCTCTTATTAATTGTTTAACCAGTTGGTTATATATTCAATATTTTTTCTATTTGAGTATTTAATAGAATTAGTGCTAATTGGTGGTTTGTATTCACACACTTAAACTTAAAAATGTAAAGTAATAATAAAATTATTTAAAAGAGCAACACGCAAGTTTCTTGCTCGTTCTTCTTGTGATGAGACAGCTTTCCGAACGAGCGGTAGATTAAAAAATGTAATGACTATTCAAAAGTGCTTCAATGTAAGTTTATTTGAATAAATGATTTTCTATTCTATTCTATTCTATTCTATGGGAGTGTTATCAAAAGCACCCTCAATATCGAGAAATGCACATAGAGCTATTTGTTTGTCCTCAAAGGCCTTCTCGACCTTGTCGGTGAGTTCGAGCGAGGCGGTCTCTGTGGAATGTCCCTTGCAGTAGGCATGTTGATTCCTGTGCAGGGGAGCATTTTCGAGGACTGTAGCTCTAATATATTGGTCCAGAACCTTTTCCGTGGTTTTTATTATGAAAGAGGTTAGGCTTATAGGTCTGTGAGACTTTGGCTGCGAGTAGTCTCTTCGACCGGTTTTAGGTACGTAGGTAACTTTGACCTTCGTTAATGGTTCTGGTATAAAACCCCAGGCAAAGCTGGCTCTAAATATTCTTACCAGATAGGGAGATAGGATGTTAAGCCCTTATTGTAACAGGGCCGGGAAAATTCCATCTTCTCCCGATGATTTATATGGCTTGAAAGATTTTATAGCCCATATAATTTGCTTTGGTCGAAAAATCCTCGCAGCTCTGTTCCACGCCTCATGGTTGGGCTTTTGTAGATGTGAGCTTGGAGGGTTCTCCTTATCTCTTGAGATATGAACCGAATCAGGGAAGTGGGTTGTAGATAGCAGCTGTAGAGTTTCTTTCTCTGATGTCGTATAGGTACCATTGGGCCTTTTCATAAGTCCAATTTGGTTATTTGGCGCCTTGGCAAGCATTTTGTGTAATCTGGATCCTTGGGGAGTCTGAGTTATCTCCTCGTAGAAAGCACGCCATGATGCTCTTTTGGCTACCCTAATTTCGCAGTAGTATTCCGTTTGGGCTTTACTATATTGGGCCCATTCTGAAGGTCCCTTTTTAGCCCTGTTGGATAATTTGCGAGTTTTCTTCCTCAGCTTTTCTAGACTCTTGTTCCACCAGGGTAAAGCATAGCAGGTAAAACATTACATTTGGCGGTTTTGGTTTTGATGGGACAGTTGTTCTGGTAGGCACTTATTATGCCATTTAGAAGTATGTCCACAGCGAGTTCTAGTTTTAGAGGAGATTTGATACTCTTCGGAAGGTCCGCAATTAGGCTTGTAAGACTGTCTCTGTAGTTAGGCCAAACTGTAGCCTTTGGGGTTCTGTAGAGTATGGGGTTTGAGTCTGTTGCAGCCTCAATTGTGAATCTGATGTGCTTGTGATCAGACATGGAGTTCTCATTGCTGACATGCCAATGAGTGATATATTCGGCCAGTTTGTCGGTCGCGAGTGTTATATCTAGTACCTCTTGTCTTGTGGCAGTGACGAACGTCGGTGTGCACCCTGTATTTAGGATTTGAAGACAGTTGGTTAGTATAAAATCATCAAGTGACTTACCTCTGGTGTTGATGTTAGAGCTTCCCCAATTTGTGTGATGAGCGTTTGCATCGCAGCCCACGAGGAGTTCGGCCTTGTGCTTACGGGCGTATTCCACCACAGGCTGTAGGCCGGTTGTCGGGTCTTTGATGATTTTGTTGTTTTCATCATGTCCAGGTAGGTATGCAGAGCAGACCAGTACTTTTGACCCTGTGCATCTAGGGAAATTGACGAAGGCTGTCACTAGGTCATCTGTACATAGTTCTGGAACAGTCAGAAAATCTAGTTTCTTATTAAAAAGAATGCATGCTCTAGGTTTAGTGCCAGTGGTATTAAAAAGAATATTACCTGAGGCATTGAGGCCTAAAGGCGTGGCTTTGTTGAGCCATGGCTCTTGTATCAGAGCAAGGTCCAGGTCGTTTTTGCGGAAGAGGTTTTCTATGACCGCTGTTGCTGCCATAGCGTGATGTAAATTGACCTGGACAATGTTGGCTCTGATACATTTCTTGCGTGTGGGTGTGTTAGCAGCTTCCTTTCGCCTTCCCTGTGGGACGTGGGCGTCCCTTTGGGTTGCGATTGGAAGCTGTGACGCTCCTGCCGCGATCTTTCCGTCCCGTCTTGAAACTGGGGATCCTCGTCTGCGAGGTCCCCTTTGGCTGGGGAAAGCTGCCTCTGGCGGGTTTGGCGTTGGTGTTTACGCCCTTCGCCGCTTCGGATGGTGTGGGTATTTCTGTGGCAGATCTTCCGTTACCGTCCGAAGTAGGCTGCTGTGTAGGCGTGGAGATCCCCTTGACCCGGAACAGGACCTTTTTAAAGCCAAGGTTGACTTTATAGTCCTGTGTTTTGAGAAAGTCAACCGAAGGCTCGTCCAGAGATACGGTCAGGACTGTACCGTTCTCTTCAGCCTTACGGTTGAGTATTTTCCACAGTTCGGAATTTAGGCAGTCATTTTGGGACTTCAGCATTCTGAGTGCCTCATCGACCGACCTAGTCTCCG